ACATATGCCACTACACTGTGTGTGGTGAGCACTCTCAATGGATGCTCCCTCACTATGTGTGCTGTTTTTTGTATGATTTTTGCCACCCCAAGTGCATGCTGTGTGCATACAGGGTGCCTTGTCTCTAATGGATTCAGTCTGATGCTGACGTACATAAGTACAAGAGCAAGAGTCTCGCACTGGAGTCATTTATGTGAATAGTTTAGTTTCCGGCCACTCGGTGCTTTTGGGTCTGACAACAGAAAGAAAAGATTTGAAAACCACCTGGTGGGAGGAGTCTTCATCTCTTCATCTCCTCTGTGAGATTCAGTTCGGGTCAGAATCTGGTGTGAATAACATGAAGTGATTCTTCCTGCTCTGTGTCAACACTTCAGGCTGTAGTTGGTGTTTCATGGCACACTTTGGGCCCTCCAGCACCTCCTGAGCATCGTTTTAACAGCACGACCTACCTGAGTGTTGTTGCTGACCGTGGCCACAGTGTAGCATCCTCTGCTGGCTGCTTCCAGGACGGCAGACGGCCTCCACAGTCCACAGAGGTGGAACGACAGCTTCACATCATTTATATCCGTGTGATGGTATCATGTCAACATGGATCCGAGTGTCACAGGAATGTTTGCAGCACTCAGCGAGTTTGTGCCACGAAGGACTGAAGAAGCTTTTAAAAGAGGGTCCAACCTGGTACCAGCAAGGTGTACCTAATAAAGTGGCCTACAAGCATATACACAAAAATGAAAAGTGCGTGAACATTTCTCATAATTCCTTGTGTGAGCTGGTGGAGATCATGTTGTGAGCTGCGTTTCTCTGCTTCACTGAGAGTAAAAAGAGTCGGGAGGCTTCACTGCAGCTGTAAGGCCCGCTGCACGTGCACGAAAACACGTGCACGAGCACTTATACCGAGAAGATCTGCGCATGTTTACCTGCTGTGCAGTTTTTAGCACTTTTTCTGTGCACAAAGTTTCCTGCTGTCATTTTTAATGACACATTTCAGTGGGTTTGTTTTGTTTAATCCAACATAAAAACTTTCAGTCTGTTCGCCACAAACAGGTTCAATCACGGCTGTAAGTCAGTGCATTCGTGTATTTGTGCAGCATGTTGTTGAGCGGCTCTCGCTGCATTAATGCGAGTTTGTAAAACTTTGATTCCCGTTGCCTCCGGCAGGCTGTCAGGCGCCGAAATGAAAGCACGTTTGACTTTGTTGGAACTTGTCGGATGAAGCTGTGAGTCACACAAAGCTATACATAAACTCTCCAGACACACGCATGCATGCACATCGCTCCCCTTCAGCACCTGGACTCCACGTCTTCTTTATTTGTGCTGAGGAGGATGAGACGCACTGGTTTAGCGCAAACGAGCTGAGAGGTAAAGTAAACCTTCATCTTCATCTGCTGCATTTCAGCGTTTCTCAGGTGAGGCTGAGGCTGGTTCACCTGTGTGCTCCTGATCAGAGTAGCAGCCTGTGAGCTGTGAGGTTTGTTAGAAAAATAACTTTTTAAACTTTAGTGAATGTTTGAGGGGAAGCTCAGACCTTCTGTGTATTACAAAAACAAGAAGAATT